CGTCTGAGAGAAAGTGCTTTTTGGAGATATATCGATAAAGATGAAAGGGTGTTAAAGTCATAATCAACACATAACTGGCCAAATATAAAATGATTAGGATATTGAAAAATATATTATTTCGGTAAAAAGGTTACTCTTAAATCTTTGCAATATTTACATTCTAATATAACATGGAACAAATCTTCATAATCATACTTAAATAATGGACATTCTGGCGAAATGTTTTGATTTCTTCTGAACAAGTTGCTAGCTAATGGAAACAAATTTAATCGCAGCTTCGTGGTAATGTTTTTGACATTTTGATTAATATTCATTGACAAATACAATTCCTGACAAAGATTAAATATACTATATTCTTTAAGGCTTTCGCTAGTTTTTAGTTTAGTCGACCATATTGTTGTATGTCAATATCAATTAGACGTAACTTAACATCGTTGAGAAAAGCCTTAGAATCACCTATTTCATGTGAATACCAACCACAACCAAAACCAATAGAGTAGAGGAGAAGTCTCACTTTTGTAGCCCATGTTGTTCTACCCATGGAGTCTAGTCTCCCTAGCATATAATAAACATGTTTTTGGATATCTATTGTATGGTAGAACGATCTATTTAGTCCAATATTTTATGAATGATAACATATAGAAAACAGCTAAGTCGTACCGACCACATTTACCCTTTTCACCTTCCGAAGAACTAGTTTTATGTATTTGAAGGACAAATTTGCAAAATTGTAAATGTGCAGTATCAATTTCCGCCCCATATTTCGGCTCTATACAACAAAACGGGTTATATTACTGATAGAAACTGAATTCAATTTTTTTTTTCGGAGAAAGGCTGGTATTGGAAGAAGTGATTTCCTAGCTTTAGCTTTACTCCAGATTAACCATGACGAAAACAAGACAACGATTTTTGTTTTTGCAATATTAACTTTTAAATCAAAATCAGAACAAAATTTTCTCAGAATATCTATTTTACGCAGTAAATCGCCAACTGTATCAGATAAAATACTGTGATTGTCAGCTCATAATTACATTAATATATCTTTAGCGTCTTCATTTGTGAATATACCCTTGACATCTCCTTGATTCATATAATCTATTATTTGATTTATATAGAATACATCCTTGGCGAACACCGGATGTACAATCAAAATAGGGAGTTATGTAAGAATCTAACTTCACACAAGACCTTACAAATGTATACATGGTTTTGAGGGCAGATTCAACAACTTTGTCCGGATTTAATAAATTGAAAGCACAGGAAAAATCTACATACAAAACGTATAAACGCCCACAATATTTTTTGATGATATTTTACCACTTTTTGAAAGGAAATATTATTTTTTAAAAATCTGATATGACTAAAAGTTTGTGCCCTGTAAAGGCGCTTAGAATCTCGCGCTCATTTTTTTTAATTTCGATTTCATTTTCGGGCCATTCGAATAAAAGGTGAAAAAGGGTGTAAAATTAAGCTATTTACATGCCATTCAGCATCTTCATATATTTCCTTGTAACTTTCATAAACTTGTAGCCATAATCCATACGAAGACAATCTATACGAAAGTTAGTTTGCAACTTGAGGGGTTGCCGAGAAATAGGCAATTTTGCAGGAGTTACTTTTTATGTTTCTTTTGTCTATAAAAGTTTCAATTATTGATCGATTTTAAAATTGTTTTACTATTTGTAATTTTAGATTCCAAAACAAATATTGTTTTAAAGTGAGCAATATTCATTATTCGTATAAAATTATGATATTTGATTCCAGTGGACAAATAGAATTATTCAATACAATCATATAGATATCTATAACATGTTTCTAACATCTTCCCTTGCGAAGAAATAACAAATTTTGTCAGTATCATTTTTTAAGATTGTTTGCATTTTAATTTGAGTTTATAGGTTCCAGATTAGTTATTTATAGTCGGATTTGTATAATGATCTTTTCACGTTATTTTGCCTGTAAAAGTTTAATTATTAATGGAATTTCATTTTTTTTACCATTTGATGCATAATGCCAATTCTGTCTAGGTCAAAACAATTTAACACTTTCGCGGTCACGTGAAATGACGTCATTTGCGCAAAAACTGGAATTTTAGCCTCCAAAACACATATTTTATTCAAATGAGTCGTATTTGTTATTTGTTTAAAATTATGATATTTGATTCCTCCAATCAACAAATAGAATAAACCAATACGACCACACAAATACCACAAAATGGTTTCTAACTTGTGCGGTTACAGAGAAATAGACAATTTTCTACAAGTCACTTTTCAAGGTTTTTGGTCTATAAAAGTGTCAATTATTATTCGATTTTCATAAAATATTCACCATATGATGCCTTATGCCATTTATGATTTTCATTTTCACCGGAAGTAATGTCATTTTGGCAAAAACTGCATTTTTTGAAGCGGGTTATATTTATTATTTGTTTGAAATTAAGATATTTGATTCCAATAATGGGCATATAGATTGGGTCAATGCGATCATATTGATGTCGACAAATTGGTTCTAGCATCTTAATTTCATTGTCGAGAAAAAACAATCTTGTCAGGATCATTTTTTAAAGCTACAATTTCATATTTTTAAGTTATATTTTTAAAATTTATTAAAATAAAGCCTTAAAATAGATGGTATCCATAAACCGCCCGGCCTTGTTAAAGAATAATCCTATTAATCCTATAATTCACTATGGCCAGCTGAGAAATTGGCAAAAATATCCATTTTCAACTTCAAATTCCAACGTTTGAAGGTAGCTTATGCATGGAGGTAGGAAACAAGGGAGGTAATTATGTTATTATTTCCTGTGTCAATGATTTTTAAGGGTGGGAAATAATCCCCATGGTCGTATAATAGTGAGTTGATAACCTATTGAGCAAGACATAGAAATAATTATGTTTTGACTTTCCTACAAAATATGAAATTCTCGCTTTAAGAATTTTTGCCTTTTTAATTTCAGTTTATGGATTCTAGGTTAATTATTTATTGCCCGATATGTATAATACAGAATTCGTATGTTTTATGGTGCAAATTCTCAACTTTTTTACCGATAAAGTTTTCTGTCGGCATCGGAAGTGGCGTAATTTTGCCAAAATTTAACATTTTGACCGGTTGGAACATTCTTTCGCAAGCAGATATTAATTTTTACAAATCAAGATCAAGATGAATGCCCCTACTATTTTTTTTTTAAAGTTTGGTTTTGTGTTTGCGCCATTTCCAATTAAAGGTGAAAATGGGTGTAAAATTAAGCAATTTACATCTCATTCAGGCTTTTCATATTTTAAAATATTTCTATGTAATGTTCATAAACCTGTAGCATATATCTATACGAAGACAACCTATGTCGAAATTAGTTTGTAATATGAGCAGTAGCCTAGAAATTGGAAACTTAGCATGAGTCACTTTTCACGTTATTTTGCCTGTAAAAGAGTCAATTATTATTGGATTTTCATAAAAGTAACATCATATTTTGATGCATAAAGCTAATGTGCAATATATCAAATTGAGCAGAATTTAAAATTGACATCGAAAGTGACGCCATTTTGTCCAAAACTGTATTTTTAGCCTTCAAAACAGATTCAAATGAGTTCCATTTATTATGTGTTTAAGAGTATGATATTTAATTCCATTCAACAAATAGAATGAACCCATACGATCATATAGATATCTCAAAATGGTTTCTAACTTGTTCAGTTGCGGAGAAGTCACTTTTTACGGTTTTTGGTTCATAAAAAATTGTTAATTAGTTATAAAAGTTTCACCATTTGAAGCCTTATGCCATTTGTGATGTCATAAAACCAATTTCAAAACTGTATGTTTAGCTTTCAAAAAAATATCTTCTCCAAATGAGTGTTATTCAATATTCCTTTAAAATTATGATACTTGATTTCATGCATTATATAGAATGATTTAATACGATGCTATAGATACCACAAAACTGCTTCTAACTTCTTCCGTTACCGAGAAATAACCAATTTTTTCAGGGTCACATTTTAAAAAAAATTTCGCATTTTAATTTCGCATTAGGAAATCTCATCAGCTAACTTAGCCGTAAGTTAGTACCCAATTTTGTCAGGATCACTATTTTGACATATGTAACACATGGTGACAAATGTATCAAATGTATAAATGGAATTGATATAGCTGGATTTGGTTGATTCTGCTTCCGTTTTATAACAGGTGTGCAATGCTAATGTGGATATCTTATCTCTTTCATTGGTACCCGAAGTAAAGCAAGTTCAAGGGTAACGTGGCATCGTTGAAATCCGTCATTACTGCGTCACAGTTCTAGTTTCCTCGGTTTTGTTTTCATCTGGATTTTGCTACTTGGTGCATCACTGTAAAGAGCTTTATCATTAACTTTGACATTTAGATTGTCTCTGTTGATCTGTGCCTTTCTTACGTAGTACCACACTGTTCACTAAATTATGGTAGTTAAAAGGACAAAGTCGATTCGTAGATCGTGTCAGTGGCTCAAAAAAAAGGGTTTGGAATAAATAAAGTACTGAACCATTAAAGAGCGGACACGTATACATAGAAAACGTTCATCTTTCTTACTATTCCTCTGAAGGGGAAAGAGTTTTTTTTTATAAGACAGCGAAAGCGTGTATGTTTGAATCCGAATATCCCTAACCGATTGCCAAGCGATCAGACAAAGCAAGAAGAATAGAAAACGTAACAATTGATTAATTTTGATTAATTATATTCTTACATTTTGAACGATAGTTAATTTTCAGATTAAATACACAAGAATGACATTTTTATTCAAACATACGAAAAAACAAGTGGCGCCTCTATACGTTTGCCTAGGTATGTTGGATATCATACCTTACAGCTTGTGCATCAATAATCGTTTACACACAAATTAAAATGTCACCGGGAGTACTAAAACAATAAATAACATTTAGCTTTAATGAAGTAAAGACTTCCCTGGTCGAAACTTCATGAAGATTTAGCAATAAAAAATCCTTATTGCCTTTTCTACTGAATAGAAAAATACAAACCTTGGTTTGTCGTTTGGTTTTCTTTAAAGGACAATTTTGGTGTCCACCAGTTTTACATGTGGTAGAACTGGTTAAAGGCACTGCAAAAATAATATTAACACAGAGATAATTACTATGATATATGCGTAGCGAAGATTTGAAGAAACAGAAAGTGACGCAAAAAATGGAAAAAAATATTTGGAATGGGTTTAACCAGTTCTTTCACATATGTAATATTGGTGGACACCACTTTAATTGTCCTTTAACGTTGCATTAAGATACCATGGTTAGAAAATATCACAGATAAACACATTAGAAATCTTTATGACTTTCATGTTGTTCATGAGTTGAATTGCACTCCATTTTGTCTTTCATCTTCATTGATCAAATGGAAAAAGCATATCGCATGATTGACAGTTATATCCATGATTATATGTGTTGAAATACAGACTGGGTGATGAATTCTGGGATGGTTTAGAAAGATTCGACATTACTTTATTTGACGAGACTGACCTTGCCTATTCCCCCTGCTTCTTGAATTCTTTGATGTCGCATCTTATGACAACTTACCAGGGTACTTAATGCTATCACATTTTCTTAACATGACTGACTTCATCGTCGAGATGTTCACGGATACAAAGTGCTAATGGGCTTGTTTCGTCGTTCATCATAACTTTAAGAAGGTAACGACAGATGAGAAACAAAACGGCAAGCGACCATTGTGATAATTGTTTGCTCAATTATTCAGAGCTTCATTGTTCTAAACTGTCATTTTAAGTTTGTTGTATGTACACCTTTATAGAACTTGCTCTTTTTTTTTACTACGAAGTCCAAGATTTATATTAGTTCACTTGTTTCATAAGGTCAATAAAAAGGTACAATTGCATGACAAATCTGTTGCCGGCTGCTATAAAATAGGTTCCATATGAAGACAAGGAGCAAAATAAATATGTAAATGGTACAGTATTACTCGAGTTCCAAACACAGGGAACCTAACTACAACGATTGTCAAGTACCAGTGTCATAATAATAAAAGAGGTCTCGACTGTCAGTCCTTTCATTGAATGATGTCCGCGTGGCTCAGATGGTTTAATCTAGAGAGTTGATTATGGGCTTGTCATGTGAGTAAATGTCTAAATATTAATTTACGTCACATTTGAAGCCAAAAAGAAGACCCGCAATAGGGATATTTGGCTACTGGGAAATAGAATCTTTAACCAAAAAAAAAAAATAAAAATAAAACCCCCAAACATTGCCTGGCGCTAGTCCCAATTTAAAGCAGATAAAAGTCACGTTCGGGAAAGAAATATTGCCCTTTTCGCAATCATACTCAGCCATGCGAGTTCATTCCTAGACACTGTGTGAACCAATTTCTTTAAACTGCCCAAGCTTGCGTATCAAAAGATTATGTGCGGCTTTTCTAAGAACATGTCGTTATTTATGTTTGCTGATTAGGATAAGGGTTTGTCATTCGGTGCTTCAATTACGGTCTTAGTTCTTCATTGGAAAACATTTGGTTTCTCATTTCTTTGATATCTTTTGGGGTATAACAAGTACAATTATGCCGGAAATAGACCAAATTAACTAAAAAAAACCCCAAACCAATTGATTTGCCATTAGATTCACCGTTTTTACCAAGATATAAATATGTTATCTGTATAGACAGCCCAGTTATTGTCAAAAATAAAAAAAAAAAAAAGAAAAGAAAAAAAAGGTGGCTAGAAATGATCAATAATCTTCGCTTCCGTCTTTTGATGTTGTGAAGATGTCCATATTGTGGATAGTACAGATTGCAGATGAGACAAACCCAACATGGTCCAGGGGTGATTACCTGTTCATTCAGTAATTGTAATCACCCCGATAACTAAATGACCCCAATGAAACCTTCTTTACTATGAAATAACTCCAAACAACTAATTAAGTGGGGTTGCATTAGTGAGTCAAATGGTTGTACGTGACAAGGAGTAGGGTCGCCTGTCCAACCTCGTGGGTTTTCTCCGGGTCCTCCCACTGCTAAAGACCCCTACGCACAAGAGAAGTATTGAAATAAAAGTGAACCATAAGTTAGTCCCGAAATGACCAAGTGATTCATACCTTTAATCAGAAAGAATAACACATAATTGCCGAAAATAAGCTCTAATAAAAAGTTAAACTTAATTGTAGTCACTAATCTGATAATTAACAGCTCTAAAGGTCAACGGTCGCTTTTATTGGCCTGTAAGTAGCCAAGCATGTGATATTGTCTATACATCTATAATAATGAAACACTGCCCCAGTGGGTAAGCTGAAGGCCCCGGTGTCGATCTTGAAGTTGGCCGAGCAGGTTTCTCCCTGTCAGAAGCAGCAGTGCTGGCCAAAGGGACTACTGAAAATCGAGGCCCCAACTACACTTGCACGCAAAATAACCTTTAACAGGTGTAATTCAACGAAGAGTAGCCGGAAAACCCGATATCCGGACATAATAAACCTTATAGCAGCTTGTATTCATTACCCCGGTGGATGCAGAACAGTGGGACGTCAGCTTTTTTTATCTTTCGCAACAGAACTGACCAACAGACTGAGGTGCAAACAAAATCTGAATGGCGGTTATGACGCACCCCAACTTAGTGTTGTCGTTTATTAAAGTAATATATTTTATGCGATCAAAGATTAAATATTAATTATAATTTCAAAACATACGAATAATGAGAGAGACATATAATTAAAAAAATCCACCTAATTATGTTTTTGAGTAAAGGTGAAGTGGCCTGAAACCGCCGTACACAAATGAATTACAATAAGAATAATTTGAGAAGAATTACACAAAATGAAATCTTACAATACCCGCTTAATAGATATTAAGCAATAATTCGACCACAATGTGTACCAACAGAATGTGGACGGAGGGGAGGAGGTGGCTAAACTTGAATTAATAAGAAAATATAGGCAAAACTAGACTCAGCGAAAGGCAAACCACTCAAACGCTTTGAAGTTTTTTCGAAGAAGAGAGTCATGTGGTAACTGATCCGACCAGCCTATTTCAATTAACTTATTTTTCAATTTCGTATTTTATTAACAATACGGCATCCATTGGTTAAAAATATAATTTAAATCTCTGAAAATCATGTCGTTCTTAAAATATTCAATGCCTTGCTGAATTAAGATTTTAGTTAAATCTTTCTATAATTTTCGTATAAAATAATGTCGATAATCCAGACACGTCAGTCAGCTACAAGCAGTTCAGGGACACGCAACTCCAATGGTACTGACAAAAATTCATCTTATGAAAATCGTGTCGTTTTTAAAACATTTATTGTCTTGCTGAATTAGGATTTTAGATAAATCTTTCTATAATTTTCGTATAAAATATTGTCGATAATCCAGACACGCCAGTCAGTTTAAGGGGCACGCAACTCCAATGGTAATGATAAACATTCCAAAGAAATATGGCGGGCCATTCCACCGGTTTCATCTTATGAAATGCAATGTGAAGGTAGCCTACACAAAATAGTGGACGAATGGGCAAAGGTTAACAATATTGCACGTTCAAAGTACCAGAGTTACGCATCAATCTCACACAGAGTTATAACCACTGCCATTAAAAAATTTTAAAAAAGAGAAGAACTTGCTGGGGTTGTCTTTTGGATCTGGCTGGTTATTACTGCCATCGGAGCTTTGTAAGCATTCAACAGGTCATATCGTCTTATCCGCATTTAAAGGCCCGGTCCCACTGCACTTACGGATGTAGAACGGGGAAAAAAACGTGCCCTCCGTTTGAAAATTCCATGCATCCGTTGTGTACTCATTGCATACGTGTTTCATACGCTCTATCCATCGAGCATCCGTTCACTTTGATTTCATCCGCGCAAAAAGTTTTGAGCTGCACAAAACTTTTATAACGGATGAACTTTCTGCCGTGTACGATGTAAATGCGCGACATATACGAGCATTAAACGTTCCATGTCCGTTATCATCCGTTAAACGTCCACTGTATCCTCTCTGCATCCTCTGGGCATCCTCGCAACTCACATTCGCTCCAGCTGAAATCGGAAAGAGGGAGGAAAGATAAGGTACATGGAACGTCTATACATCGTTAGTAGCACGGAAATAGAAAGGATGTAAGCGTATGCATCTCGTATATAAAGTTTTCAAAACGGACAAAGCGTTTGTATCTGGGATGTATCTGGTATATTGAAGGATGTCGGAGCTGTCATCCACTTCCATACGCTTTCATCCGCTAGGCTTCCGTCGTTGAACATCCATTTAACATCCCCGCTACATACTTAACACGTTCGTTCTTTTCCGTTCTGTTTTCGCAAATTTTCGTCAATTTTGTCCATTTCTGGAGCGGATGAAAACGGATGGAGCCACCACCGAAAGTTTGCTCGTCCGCTGTGTCCTTTTTGCATACGTTTTGTGTCCATCGGCCACTGGGACCGGGCTTTAAGAATAAATATATCATAATTAAGGGCCAGCTGATGTTACTCGAATTAGGTTATTGATCGTGCACTAAAAACTAATCGTGGCATTACCGTCCTCGATATCAACATAAAGGCTATTAGGGGCTATCGTTTGTGGTAATCAAGTTGTTCCAGGCGGGAGCATGTATTACTTCCTTCATCCGAATACTCACTAATATAATTACTCAATTAAAATGTTCGCAATGGTAATATTTGTTATTGTTCTTTTATTTAATTGTAAATTAAGTATTTCACTGGTGCAAGCAGTTATAAATATCGTCGATTTAATTGTCGACTAGATAGCCTTGTGTAATACCGTCAGTAATAATATTGTATTAACAGCCTGTGTTTAAAAACACAAAGGAGTCCCCCTTCCCCAATTCCATCGAATATTTCTGGTGAAAACCTGGTCAGAAATTAACGAATTCTTGGGCTTTGTTTTAGGGTTTTTAAAATAAAAAATCGCCTGACCAGGACTAATTAAACATTTACTGCTTGTATTGTCCCTTTAACTTTCATTTTTAGAACAACTGTTATAACATGTTAATGCTAAAATATTCACAAACTGTGAGAGTACAATACGTATAATCCCCGACATGATCCAATGTGTCCCTGTTAAATGTCAAATAGTTAGGCAACATTATATCACTGATGCATACGTG